GTGTGTGTGTGTGTGTGTGTGTGTGTGTGTGTGTGCCCAAAATCCCAAGAGAAGACGTGTAGAAGAAGGGATTGAGGCATGGCCACCCCCACGGCGGGGGGGCAGGGGGGAAGGGAGTGATTTCTCGCTGTCTGTCTCTGTCTTTCTAGTGAACGCACACACCCTATAACAACAACAATAAAAACTCTCTCTCTAAAAAAAACTTAACACTGTCATATGTTGGAATTATCTCGCAAATTAGACAATACTTTGTTTCGTATTTCTTTTCTTTCTCTTAAATTTGCCAGAGGGCACATGTGCTCACCAAAGAGTCAGAGAGAGAGAGTCAGAAGTAAGAAAGGACCTCCCACGGGGCATGATCATGCTGCAATTCCTTCATCTCTCCCTTTTGGGATTTTGGGCATGCATGCACACAGCATGTTTTTTGTGTTTTCATTTTCTTATTTAACTTTATTTATTTGACCAGAGAGGGACAGAGCAAGAGAGAGAAAGAGAGAGAGAGAGAGAAGAAAAGTGAAAAAACAAGCCACTAGGTCTGAGACTTGAACCACAGTCAGCCATGTGGGAGTCCAGTGCCTTTAATTAACCAGCATTCCACCTGCCGGGCCCACAGCATGTTTTTTAAGATGCTGGGTCCAGGTCTCAAGCTGCACAGCTGGCTATGTGAGTTCCAGCTCCTTTAACACACCACCTGCTGGCTCTTCTATTACTTTTGTATCCCTCTTGGGATCGTAGAGGAACAATCTGCCTACACTGTATACCAATACTTGTTGTTGGCTAACTATTTTGAAGCACTATTTAAAATATTAATGAAGGGAGATAGCAGGTGGTGTGGTGGTTACAAGTGCTGGATTCCTGTGCTGCCGACGGCGGTTCAAGTCCCAGACCTGGTGGCTTGCTTTCTCGATTTACCTTTCTCTCAGTCTCTGTCTGGTCAAATTTAAAAAAGATAATAAGGAATGAAATTAGGGGCTGGTAGGTGGAGTGGTGGTTGAAGGTGCTGGATTCCCACATGGCCAAGTGTGGTTCAAGACCCGGACCTGGTGGTTTGCTTTCATGCTTTTCCTTTCTCTGGTCAAATTTAAAATAATAATAACAACAAATGGAATTAAATAAATAAATAATTCTTAAAAAAGAAAGAAATGGAATTTAAAAAATAATTATTAAAAAAATAATCAATGAAGCAGCATTAATATACAGAAAGAATATCTAGAAACTGAGAGGGGCTCTCTCACAAAATGTACCCACAATTTCTTACCAGCTGCTTGCCCCTGATCACAGCCATATGCACATTCTTTAGTGATCCATCATCATCTTCAAACACTTCCGCTGACCACAAAGCACAATTTACGTGTGTCCACTCATTCTGGCCAATGTATAGCAAGCGACCAGCATCCTGTAAAATCAAGAAATTTCCTTTTTCTTTGGAAAAATATAACAAAGAAGATTTTCCCTGGTATTAGCTTTACTCCAGTCAAGATACCCTCAAGAAAGCAACGAGGTAACGTAGTGGTAAGATGCAAAGCTCTTCCCAGCTGACCATGTGGGAAGGCTGCTGTGGCTGGAGCCCTCCCTAAGGACAGCAGGTGCCCGTGTGCCATGATGAGGGCTGGCTGAGGCTAGGGGGCATCATGGCATCAAGACCCTGTCAGGAATACTGTATTTGTCTCTCTCTCAGTCATGGGATAAATACAACTTTATAAAAATAAAGCAACTCAGCCAGCAGGTGGCATGGTGGTTGAGGTACTGGACTGTCACGTGGTCGACCATGGTTCAAGTCCCGGACTTGATGGTTTGTTTTCTCACTTTCTCTTTCCCCACTTCATCAAATTAAAACATAATAATAATAATAAATAAAATTAAATAAATTATTTTGGGACCAAAGGTGGTGTTATGGCTATGTCACTGGACTCCCACATAGTTGACTGCAGTTTGAGTCCTGGACCTACTGGCTTTAACGCACACTGGGGGCATGTGCGTGAGTATCCAAGATCCCAAGAGGAGAATGGAGGAGAAAGGATTGCGGCGTGGCCAACCCCTCTGGGGGGTGATTTCTCACTTTCTGTCTCTGTCTTTCTGGAGAGTGCACACACCCTGTAGCCGAAACCTTTTTTTTTCCTTTTTTAAAAAAAGCAACTCTAATTCTTCTTTTTCTTTTGAAAGGATTATTTTTTGTTCAACTTTTATTTATTTAAATTTGATCAGAGAGGAATAGAGTGAGTGTGTGTGTGTGCGCATGTGTGTGTGTGTGTGAGAGAGAGAGAGAGAAAGCAAGCTGCCAGGTCCGGGATGCGAACCACACTGTCCATGCCACCTGCTGGTACCACAACTCTAATTCTTTAATTAAATGATATGCACACACACACACACACACACACACAAATCACAATTTATTTTTAAATGTTCCTCTGTTTCTACTTCCTTCCTTTCTAGATTACTTTTTCCACAGACTGGAAATATTTTATAAGCCTCAAGAACAACAACAAAAAAATAAACACTATGTAGTCAATTTATAAAAGTATACCCTAACATTTTTTAAAAAAATAATTATTTATTTAATTTTATTTATTCATTCACTTATTTTAATTTGATCAGAGAGAGATACACAGAGAGAGGGAAAGTAAGAAAGCAAGCCACCAGGTCCGGTACTCGAACCACAGTCAGCCATGTGGGAGTGTCCAGCACCCCAACCACCACGCCACCTGCTGGTCCCAAATATACCCTAACTTTTTGTTTTTTTCGGAGAGGTTTTTGCTATAGGGCGCGTGTGCTCGCCAGACAGACAGAGGCAGAGAGACAGAAAGCGAGAAATCACCCCCCAGGGGGAATGGCCACACCCCAATCCCTTCTCCTCCATTCTCCTCTTGGGATCTTGGGCACGCACGCACACGTGCCCAGCGTGAGTTTAAGCCACCGGGTCTGGGACTCAAACCGCGGTCGATTACGTGGGAGTCCAGCAACATAGCCATTACGCTAATTGCTGGTCCCGATATATCCTAACTTTTTAAAAACCATATTTCAATGATGATTCTCTCAGATTGTATTTAAAAAGGCTTTTATTTTCTTTTAAAATTTTCTTTTAAAATTTTTAATTGTTAGCTTACTATGTATGTGCCAGAAACTAAATAAAGGTTTTACGGACAATATTTAATGTAGCCTCACTACACTATAAGTGTTACTAGCTTCATCCTCACTACACTATAAGTGTTACTAGCTTCATTCTAAAGATGAAACTGAGGGTCAGTGAGGTTAAGCTATTGCCAAGGTTAACAAGTAGGCAGTAAATCACAGAAATGAATCCTAGAGGCCTATCAGAATTGAATTCTTAACTATTCTCTTATCCTACATTAAACACAAGCTATTTAACATCTAACTTATTAACTTTTTACACAATTGTTTAGAGGAATTTCAGGGAGACTGTATCAGACATAACAGATTAATTTCAGGCAAATCACTTTTTTTTTTGGAGGGGGGCAGGTTTTTGCTATAGGGCGCATGTGCTCACCAGAGAGAAAGAAAGTGAGAAATCACCCCCTGGGGGGATGGCCATGCTGCAACCCCTTCTCCTCCATTCTCCTCTCAGGATCTTGGGCACGTACGCAAACGCGCCCGGCATCGGCATGAGTTTAAGCAACTGGGTCTGGGACTCAAACCTGGTTGACTACATGGGAGTTCGGCAACATAGCCATTATGTTAACTGCTGGTCCCAGGTAAATCACCTTTTTTTGGAGACATTTTTTTGCCATAGGGTCCATTTGCACTTGCCAGAGAGAGGGAAAGTGAGAAATCACCCTCCAGTGGGGATGGCCACACTGCAATCCCTTCTCCTCCATTCTCTTCTCGGGACTCTGGGCATGCATGTATATGCACCTGGCATGATTTTCAAGCATCTAGGCCCAGGACTCAAACTGTGGTCAGCCATGTGGGAGTCCAGCACTTTTACCACCATGCCACCTGCTGGACCCAAGGCAAATCACCTTTTAAATCAACTCAATCAATTATACAAAAAGCCCCCTCAAACCACCAAAAAAACCTCTCTGAATGCCACAAACTAAGCGACTGTCGAGCACTCCTTAAACAAACGGTACCCTGCCATCAAGTACAGACACGAAGGATGAACCGTCCACGTGGGGCACCTCCGAACTAGGACCTGTACCTCAGAGTACTCACATTCGCACTGTCGTCACCATACGTCAAACATAACGCACACTGTCTGTTATCTTCTGTGCCCGGGGGTGGGTTCAGCTCTGGACTGTCTTCTCGGCTCCTGTCAGTACCTTGGAATCCAACGGACAGCCAGTTAATAAAACGGCAATACTGACTTTCAGGAAATAAGGAAACAATTCAGTTTAAATTACGTATATCCTAAAAACACTTTCAAAAAAAGTGCTATCTCACCATCTCTGTTATAATACTCACAGGTACTTCTATCAAGTCCTTGTTAATAGCCCAAGTGGAGCAAAAATCAAGTTTTTACTACATTTAAGGATGACTTGAAAGTCAACCACTGGCATCTTGAGAGAATGAATGTGGTGGCTTACTCAAAATTGGCGGTGTAGGAGGATGCAGGGGCGTTGGTGAGTCTGGTTCTCCAGGCCCTTTGGGTTTGGGAGCTGGAATGATTTTCTTCATTAAAGGAGGCTGCTCAGTGTGGCTGTTTTCCTCTCGCTCCTGCCACTGAGCATAATTATGGTCAAGTGAAGGTGGAAGCACTGCGTTTGGTAACATCCCACTGCTGAAAATAATTGATTCAACAAGTATTTATTGAACTCCTACAATATACCTACAACTGCACAAAATAATCAAATTCTCGATATCATCAGATGTTGGCCCATGCACATGCCAGTCACAGAATACAAGGACAGGTCACGGTAAGCAGGAATTTAACATTTTAAAAAACAGAATCTCTCAATGTATGATTCTTGGTTAACTTCCAGAAACAAATGATAAGCCTGTCAGAAATCAAAAGAACTTACTGGAATAAAAATTAAAAGGTTAAATATGAAAATTCACAAACGGTAGAGGGCACCATTTTTTTAAAAAATTATTTTATTTTAACTTTATTTTATTTATTTTATTTTGACCAGAGAGGGACACAGTGAGAGAGGGAGGGAAAGTGAGAAAGCAAGCCACCAAGTCCAGGACTCAAAATGTGGTTGGCATGTGGAAGTCCAGCACCTTAACCACTGCGCCACCTGCTGACCCCAAGGGCACCAACTGAACTAAGCAAAATAGAACCCAGTGATGATATGGCTGTATCACACGTGAACTGTACACACCCCACACAAGTTCCTGATCACATAACAAATACCTAAGTAAAGAAAAAGGCCATAGCCTACAACAGACATTAAGTGTTGTCTCCAAATCAGCCTCAAAAAGGCATCAGAACCAACTCATTTTTAATACAAAAACCTCTTAGATAACCTCAGTCTAGAAATATGAGAATGCTCAGATCTTTAGCTAACTAGGAACAAAAAAAGTAATACTGAATTGAACTTACTTGCTTGAGACTTTATTTGGCTCCCAAAACCTGGACTTTTTGACACTGAACCATGGAAAAACACGTTCCATTTGCTAAAAGATAAACAATCAATCAAAATGTAACACCGGGAACATTTACCTGGTAACCACATAAAAACCAACAACTGGGAGCCAGGTATTGTGCAGCAGTAATGCAACTGGACCCACACGGGAAAGGTCCTGGGTGTGCACCCCGGGACCTGCCTGAGCACATCAGGTGCACTGAGAGTGGGGCTGGATCACCGCGTCACGACCCTGTGGGGGTGCAGGCCTCTCTCTCTCTACCCCACGGAAGAAATATATAAACTTAAAAACAAACACCCCCCCCCCCAACAACTTCACACCAGCTTCCTTGTCCATATGAGGATAATTTCAGGCCACCAAGGGACAGATTCATCCACTTTGGCAATCTCAGCTTCCTCCCCAAGAATCAGAGGAAGATGTTTTATATAGGTGGCAAAGTGAGGGAACAGAAAAGAACAAGTCCATAGTCTCTGTGGGGGTCACCCTTCTTAGGTAAGCATTAAAGACATGAACTGTTAATATCATCACCCGAATGAAGAAGGACTTGACCATGCTGTTGGCTTTTTTAACTTCCGGCTGCCCTCCGTCTGAATTAATGGCTGCTTGGATGATCTTCACAATATCATCGCTGAACTCCAACTACATACAAGAAAACATTAATTATTAGTAAAACCATATGCTTTCTCAAAACCACCTCCCCTTCTCTCTTTAGTAATCCAGTACGGCTTCCGACAGAAAACTCACATCCTATTTTAATACAGTACTTTCTCTTTGGCTGAGGCCTTTGGGATTCACAATTAACCTATGGCAATCACAAGATGCCACACGCAATTAAAGCAAGAATGCCAACAAACTAGGTGTGTCGCAGGAAGTCACCCAAACAAGGCCACAATTTTTTATTTGGACTAAAATGAATAAACAACTGAATAGCAAATACAGCCCAAAGGTAATAAATGATCATTTCCTAAACATTTTTTTAAGCAGTTCTGCCTTAGGATGGTTGCTGGAGAGACAGAGACAGTGAGGGGGAAAGTGAGAAATCACCCCCCAGGGGGGATGGCAACACCACAATCCCTTTTTCTCCTTTTTCCTCCAGGAATCTTGAGTACACATGCCTGGTGTGATTTTTCAAACCACTGGGTCCAGAAATTGAACTGTAGTTTGCCTGTGGGAATTCAGTATTGCAACCCGTACACCATCTGCTGGTCCCCCTAAACATTCTTAAAAAAATAAAATGAGTAGGTATTTATCTACAAATGAATACCTTATAAAGAGAGGTATATTATTTGGATCTAATCTCAAAAGGAAAGACCCTCTTAACTTCACAGCAGCATTTTCCCCATTAACAGCTCTTAGTGCTTCCTCTTAATATAAAAATAATTTCCTGAGAACTCAGAGGAAAGAACCATGTTAAGATATTACCTTCACCTACCATACACCTTCTTCTGAAACACGGCTAAAATAACTTCTATACTTTCAGGTGTCTAAAGCCACATGGCACTTCTAAATATAATAGAAATCATTTTTTAAATTTACTTATACTCCACCTCCTCTAAAGATCTAAAGAAGCTAAATCAACACCTGAAAGTTTGATAGCTTGCGGTGGAAACTTACCACAGATGTATAGTTCCCTTGGTCCATTTTCCTCTTCACTCCTTCCAGATCTAAAGGCTGCTGATCATCCTGTTTGCTGACCTCGGTAAGCACTGGGGGATCGGGTCCTTCCGGGGAGCTCCGGGAAGGTATACTCTCCTCTGTCTCAGGATTTAAGTCTGGAGGTTTGGCAGCCTGTTGCCAGGAAAGACATGACTCTTTTACCTAACACTGAAAACAAGGCCTCCATGCACATTTCATTAAAATGAATAAAGATGGTACTGAATGATTTCTATTATAAAACCCACACAACATGAGAATAACCAGCAATTTCTCGTATAGAAAAGGAAAGTTAAAATAAGCCTGTTTTCCACTAGGTCGAGTAGGCTAACTCAGGAACTTGGCTTGGACTTTCCAAACCTATTATAAAGCAATCAGTTGAAACCGTATCCAATTCATTTTGAGCATACATAGACAGCAATTAATTTTCCTATTAAAAAAATGGAGTCTTGTTAAAAGATAAAACAGCAGCCTAGCTCGGTGTTAAAGCGATGCTCATGGCTCTTCCAATATTATTAATACAGCTTGTGTTCCCAATGGTTACGTCATAGATGTATAATTCACAGCCTATATGGACAAGAAGCTGAGGTTTTCAAATTAACTGCAGTAACTGCCACTGAACCACTACTCCTGCCTAGAGGTTCAGGCCTCTCAGTCCTTCTCCTTTCCATTCCAATCAGAATACTTTTTTTCTAAATGACAGCTCTGTCAGGTTTCTTTCTTGGGTGAAGTCCTTTATCAGGTCCCTGTCACCTTCAGAGTATAAAGCCCAAATTTCCCACTCTAACAGCAAAAACTTTGAAGATATGGTCCCTTCTTATAGTGGGTTGTTAGAAAAGTCATGACATTTTTTTCTATGTTTTCCTTTTTTAAAAAAGAATTATTTTAATTTAACTAATTTATTTATTATTTTACTGTGACCAGAGAAAAAGTAAGAAAAGTAAGCTACCAGGTCCGGTACTCAAACTGCAGTCAGCCATGTGGGAGTCCAGCACCTTAACCACCATGCCACCTGCTGGCCCCTCTATGTGTTTCTATGCAAAAATATGTCATGACTTTTCTGACAACCCAGTATCTGACTCCAAAGGTCCCACTTTTGGCCCCAACATCTTCCCAATGGTTATAGCCAAAACAAGGAACTCTACAAAACTAAATGGAAATGAAATAAAACAAAACAAACCCCCTGATGCCGTTACTAGGTAAAAACTACCTAAGAACAAGCTCTTAAAAAACAAAACGAGTCCTGGGCCCACCTGCCGGTAGCGTAGCAAATGGCTGGTAGTCCGGGAATTCAACAAGGCTGTCAGAACTTGCTTCAGAGAAATCTGTAGCTCCTTTTCAAGGGCCAGTCTCCACTCGGCAGGATGTCGCTCAGTGCAGTTTACACAAGTGTAGGCCACACTTTCCGGCAGGTTAGATAGAATCTCGTACATCTCATCTGGGAAAACAAAAACCTGCAATCATGAAGTCTTCCGAAGAAGGGAGAGAGGGGAGGGGGAAACTATGTATGCCCCTGAGCTTACTGTAAGGCTGCATATTAGAAGCCACATTAAGATTCTCACAGCCCTAGCACATCAAACATATTGATCTCCAAAGGGGACATTAATAATTAACACTAATCCAGAATTTAATCACTAGAGAGTCAACAGATTATGGTACCCACGAAAAATAGCAAATAAATAAAGGAATGTGTTTGAGTTAAACAACCACAAATTTAACATAATGCTACTTATTCTAGAGACCAAAAAGTAAATTTTAAAAGACTTCAAATACCACCACCACCATAATTTTGGGTTTACTGTATTCTGGGGGCTAAAATAATAGTACCTAGAAAGAAGAAAACTGTAATAAAAAGATTCCAACCTTCTGTACCTGAAAGATTCTCACATTTGGAATGGACCCAGCGATCACACTTCCCACACTGCATCATTTTACTCTCATAGTCGTCATCATCATAACACTTGTCACAGAGTGGGCAGAAGTTTCCTGAAAACAGAGCAAAAGTTGCAATAGTGCTTTGGATTCCATACCAAGTCTGTTAGGCCCTTATCTTACATAAGCCAATATCATCTGAAATCTATTTCCACTGCAATCACTCTCAAACATCTGTGTGGCCCTACTGTGGACTGTCACTCATCTGCCAATCACTCTCAAACACCTGTGCGGACCTACTGTGGAATGTCACCCATCTGCCAATCATTCTCAAACATCCGTGCGGACCTACTGTGGAATGTCACTCATCTGCCAATCATTCTCAAACATCTGTGCGGACCTACTGTGGAATGTCACTCATCTGCCAAGTGCAGAGATTACCCTACGCTCCCGGATACTCACAGAAAGCTGCATATATGGCATTAGTTCTCTGTTTTGGATCCATTTATAAAGGGTGTGAGGTAGGTGTGTGTGTGATTTTTGTTTTTAAAGTTTTTGTTTATAGGGCACATGAACTTGCCCGAGAGAAACAGAGAGAGAAGAAGAGGGAAAGTGAGAAATTGCCCTCCTGGGTGGATGGCTACATCTCAATCCCTTCTCCTCCATTCTCTTCTTGGGATACACGTGCCTGGTGTATTTTCCAAACCACCCATCTGGGACTCGAAAAGCAGTCGGTCATGTGGGAATCCAGCTGGTTTTTAACCACCAAAGCACCTGGCTGTCCCAGAATGAGATATATTTTTTAAATAACATAATAGAAAAAAAAAATAAAGAATTTTATCTGTTAAACATTTAAAAGAAATGTTTAAATTTTTAAAAAGAGGTAGTAAACTTTTTCCTTATTTCTAGTGCTTTTACATTATAGTCCAGAGTGGTGCTGTCTAAAATTCAGGGCTATGTACAGCCTTCATAAATATGCTTTATGCATGTATTCCCTCTATTACTTTTTATTTAACAAACCTCTTTAAATTGATCTGCTTATTGTACTTAAAGTAACTTTAATAGTAAACTTTATATCATCATTATTCTAAGTCAGTAAAATAACAAGTTTAATATATTACAATGATTTTTTCCCCCTAGTAACTTAAAAATGAAATGATTGCGTATCACTAACATTTCTGAAACAATCAGATGTACACATCATACTTTTAGACTCACTGGCCTAGAGCATTCCTTTTTTGGTTAGTGGCAATAAAAACTGTCCTAGGCCAGCCCATGGCCTGGTAGTTAAAGTAGCTGGATCCCACAAGATTAACTGCCCAGTTTAAGTCCCGGGCCAAGTTTTGCAATAGGGTGTGTGCACTTGCTAGAGAGACAGAGAGAGAGAGAGTACGCAAGCGAGAAATAACGCCCAAGGGGACGTGGCCACACCACACCACAATTTCTTCTCCTCCATTCTCCTCACTGGATCTTGGTCATGCATGCACACGTGCCTAGCCTGTTTTAAGTCACCAGGTCCAGGATTTGAACTATAGTCAATTATGTGGGAGTCCAGCGACATAACCATTACACCACTGTCTGGTCCCAAAAACTTTAAATTTCTAATGGAGCATCCAGCTCACCTCTGAAACACAAAGTATAACCTATAAACACGGACAAAACTGGCCTTTCCTGGTACCTTTAGCGAAGAGTTTGGCACAGTCATGGCACAGCGAGAAATCGTGAGACCACTGTGCATCCCACCCTTTGCCTGGTGTCGTGGACCCACAGCTCTTGCAGCGAACACACTTGGTACAGATCTAGAAGAAGGGAAAAGAAACAGGACATTTCTTACTGGTATTATCTTTTCTTATTTAAGAAGAGTTCAATCTATGTCTAGATCTGATTTCTTTTCTGGATGACTTTTCCTAACAACGAGGCAAAAAAAAAATCATTATATGACAACCTCAAGTAAGGGCATT